CATCTATAAACAGTAAGCTTACGGATCTGTGTTCAGATGTTATACCAACTTGAATCTCTGCCATCTGAATAATCATTGGCCAAAGTCCTTAAGGTAAGGAAATCTGCGCAAATGCAGTTTTAACATAAAACCGTCGTCATATTCTGTGTTTCTCATATAATATCACTTCCTGTTGAAAGTAGCATGAGTGACAGTTAGTTGGAATTAACATTTTGTGCGCAAGCTGTTTAACCGACGACTAAAGTGTAAAGCAGAAAAGCGCTATACAAGAACGAGCACAATTAGCGTTTAACAAATAAGTGACACGGCTGCAAATTTTCTGCATAAAGCCAACAATAAACAGCAACATTTACTGTGCGATTTACATTAAATTACTCTTTGCAGAAAGTTTGAGTTTCTATATCAGAGCAAACCTGAATCTTTCCGACGTCCCTGGCACAGCCCACCACTTTCATGCCGAGCCGGACTAACTCTACGGCTATAGCCGCCCCAATCCCGACCGAGGCTCCGGCCACCAGAGCCACTCTGCCCCGCCAGCGCTCCATGACAGCCCGGTAACTGCAACACACACGAAAACACCACACGTATGAAGAAAGGGACGTTGAGCCTGCAGCACAGTGAGCCCTGGAAATGTCAAGCACATGCGAACCGCAAACGTCGCACACTCAGTACGTCATACGTCTCGGCGTATGCGACGTTCACGTAAATCAGTTGCAAACCGTAGAAAGCAGTAGCATCAGTTCTGTCACTGCGATTACATACCGTACTTCAACCGATCATAGCCTTACTCACATTTAATTGACAGTAACGCATATCTTTCACTTTACTGAAGTTAAAACATATCAACCATTAATAGAACAGACAGACCTGTCACAAATGTAACTCCCACTGCGTATTTGCTCCGTAAAAATCAAAGATACGACGTAGAAGCCGTGACTCAAAATCTGTGCAACGGCAAAGAAAGAGCATGGCTTCAGAGGGAATGTATTCATATAGTTTTAAGTCTCCGTGACCACGAGCATTACAGTTTATTTGGATAACTTCTTCACAATAATAACAACTGTCTCGCCACTGCTCCATCAGGTCACCTCATCTGCCAGTAAGAGGCGCTAAAAAGCAAGGCCGTGCAGAGACGTTTAAAGGGGCGGGTGCTCAAAGTTAAAAAGGTGCACATTGAACCAGGCTGAATAACAACACACATTCATCAAGAATCTAATATAACATCGCATCATACTATATCACTGTTGTGAGGTGGCGACAAGGCAAAGCAAACGTAGCCTATGTTTTACCTGATGGGTACAATGTTGCAGTTGAGGGGTTGCTGCTGCTGCTGAT